TTTACCTTATTTTTATAAAAAATGTCACAAAAAAACTTTTAATTGGATAATTTATTTAAAGTTAACTTTAAATTTGTCATTACAATTTAATTATAAAAAGATACAATTAATTTAAAAAGGGCTTAGACAGTCAATGTATTCTCCAATTAGCTTTTGTGTATCATGAATGATACCATCCTAAGCAACCTTAAGAGTATGCCTACGTATCGATATGATATAACCAAAGAGATTATTATTATTATTATTTTTTAGTGTTGATGCTAATTACTTGAACAATAGACTGCTCTTGCATATTCAACCCAATATAGGCATTTAACGATTGAACCAAAGGGTACCATCATGCAGATGAAGAATTCTTGTTCTTTCTCATTAATTATGACATCTAACACGATAGAACGAGATTATTTTCTTTCCCTTCTTTCTTTCCTCTCATTTCCGGGCTAAATTTGAAGAACATATGGAACAAGTAATTAATTCATGCAAGTTAGATTTGTTTTCCTAATTCACAAATTAAATAAAGAAAGAAAAACATTAGATTTGTTTTCCTAATTCACAAATTAAATAAAGAAAGAAAAACATGTCTAATTCGTTAATTAACTATTACTATAAATAATGTCTAACACTTGAAAAGGGCTAAATCTTTTGAAGATTCAGCAGAGTCCATTTGCCAACTTGGCCTTCCAAGGGTGAACTCTAGGTTAAGGAACGTGTTTGAAGGTGACAAGGAGCTAGAATCCAAACTATCCTCTGCGTTACTAGACAGACTAAGGGCCGCCAGCGGGTGTTCATCCACCTATTAAAAATCCAAATATAGAACTGTTAAATGAATTTCAACATGTTTAAAATCAACCAATCTTGCTGTTTTGTCCCTTAGGGACCTCTCAGTGATTAAGAACTTGAACCTTCATGTTAAATACTTGAAGTTCAAATCATGGGATAAGTTGGGAGGTGTTGGGGAATGGAAAGGTTATTTCTTGTTGTATAACCCATCATTCAATAGATAAATATATATATATATATATATGAACCAATCATACTGTTTTTTGTTGCAGTTAATCATACCTTAGTATTATTAGGAATGATTTTCAAGCTGTTTCCAGGGCCAGATATTTTCCTATCCATGGTCTCTCTTGACAATGGTAACCATGAGCTTCTGCAGATCAAGAAATTCAGTATAAGTTAATCCAAAATGATATAGGGAACATGAAAATTAAGGATAATTAACTTGGAGAATACATGTATAAGATAGATAAATTTTATAGTGTCATGTTTAAAAACCCCAGCATGGAAAAGGACTTGGAAAACTATGATCATAACTTTAGAAGATGTTTCAATGGTAACATATTTACCTATGAAATAATTTCAAGGATTTTATAGCATGAAAATATAGGAAAGTTTCAGCTTATATATTTGCACTACTGTATGCTACACACACAGCTTTCTTTAGGACAGTAGGGGTTCATATAGATAAATTTGGGCTGCTTCATATCCCGTATCCAGTATTTGTGAGAATATAATATTGGTGGGTTTTGAATTAATGTATCAATCAACAGCCATGGTTGTGTGGTCAACCATGTCCAGATGAGGAGAGAGAATGGGGCTAACTGAGCGTTTGACTACAACTGCATTGAGATTTTAACAAGAAGTTCAGACCTTTGACTTTTACCATTAGAGGACCATTACATTCATATATAGTATAATCTAACGGATCTGTACTGTATAGAACACTAGAACTATATGAATTCACAGGCAGGAACAAGTAAAAGAGTCAACTTACTAGAAACCCAGAACTAAGTTCGCTATGGTAGTAAATATAATTAACTTCGTCTTCTAAACACCATTAACAATGCCAGACATCATGGTGGACCAGAAAAATTCAATAAACTAGACACTGCTGTATAATATATATGCATGCTTAATTATACTTTGATTCAAGGCGTCCATTTAAAACAAACATTATTATTTACCATAAAAAAGTCAGCTTTCCTTTCAGCATCACTTATGTGAGACAAGAAAGCAACGAAGAAGCGTCAAAGAGAAATAGAGAGGAAAGGGTGCAGACTGCAGAGATGCTCACCTTTGGACATTTTGTAGTAATAATGGTTTGAGAGAATAAGAAGGGTTGGTATCAGCTTTTCCATTAGACAGTCCTCCATCCAACAAATCAACAATCATCTCAGTCCTTTGGTTCAAACCTAAATCTGTCTGCCCTTGACCTGTAAAACCCACACTCGAACATAAGCCGTTGCTCTTGCTTTACCAGATACCCAGAAAATAATTGATCACATCACATGGCACCAAAGTCAGTTTTCAGTCCCAACACCTTTTTGTTTTAGTATGGAATGGTGGATCGAATGATAGTTTTCTGTCACACGCCTAGATTTCCACAAGCTCAAGAAAAGAGAAGAAAATAAGAATGAAATCAAAATTTAATTAGTACCTGATCCTTTGTCAGTGCTTTTCACTGTTCTGTACATCTGCATGAACACAAACAGAAAGCAAATGAGAAAAAGAAAGTCCACATTGCTAAGATTAGCCATCTAGATGCCATTTTGTCCTTACCCCTTGTTCTCCGCACCCAGTAAAGTTGAATCATAGAAATTCAAGAATAGGATACGAAAAAGGTGCCAAATAAGTAATGAAAATCATAAATATTTATATATCAATAAGTTCAAAGCAATGGAGATTGCAAACAGTGAAACCCACCTGCAAGTGACTCTTCACGTGAGCTAGGGTTAGATCCTTGACATTCATCAGCTCTAAGACGGATTTTGGTGTTGCTCCTGTGGCATTGGCAAAGACAAAGATGAAATCTTGTTATGCTTTTCCCAACTAAGACATCCATTTTTGCACTATAAACTATCATATAGAGATTTTATCAAACAGATGGTGAAAGATTACTTTCATGACCGCCAAGAAGCTGGACTGCATGAACAAAACGAGCATGAAGAGTGGAAGTCCATCTCATTCTAGGAGCTCTAATGTTTCTCTTCACTCCAGTAATCACTCTTGCATTTCTCTTGAACTCGCGCCCAGAGATTTGAGGCCAGTATTGATGATGCTGATTATTAATGTTTCTCCGCAGCTGTTGAGGACCCAAATCTGCCATTTCAAACCCTAGCCTCAACATTGGCTCCGCCTGACCCAGATTGCCATAACTCCTCTGAGAGCTAAACAACCCATTTTCATGGCTGAAATCACTCCCACTGCTACCAGAATCAGTAGTCGAGCTCCGATCACTGTAGAAAGATTTACCCACCTCCTTAGTTCTACAATCCAAAATAGAAGGTGGGCTAATCTGCAAGGAAAGATCGGGGAAAGCAGGGGGTCTCATTTTGGTAATTGAGGTTAATTAAGAACGAAATCACAAGCGGAGAAGAATAGGAGATCTCAGTCAAAACTCAAAAACCCAGGAGGGAGAGTTAATCAAAAAACAAGAAATGTTGAGAGAATGAATGGAAAGGTGAACAGAGTAATAAAGAGGTCGAAACAAGAATACAAATAATTAAGGAAAAAGGAGGAAAAAAGTTATAACATTGAAGGAAGTGAAATGAAGTTGAGATGTTTGATTATCTCATGAGTGCCTCATGATTTGCATAATCTAGTGTTGCTAGGAACGAGGAAGAGGATATATAGGCTTCTTTTTCTAGCTAGGATGCCATCTAGGGTTGATCAAAAACAAAAAATTGCAGAGTGGAGTTCTAGCAGTAGTCAGACTAAAAATTTGCAGGAAAAGGATGGGCAACAGAGTTTTTCTGGGGATGGAGGTTTGGATGAAAAGTTAGTGAAAAGGGGAACTTATGTATTAAAGGAGGGATGAGAGAGCTCCATGTTGAGAGAGAAAAAAGAGGTCCATTTTTCACATATCTATACAATGGCTGTGGCCTGTGGGAATGAGAGGAGAGAGTGGTGCAGGAGATGTAACGGTGGTGGTTTATTATGGCAGGGAATGGTTGGAATTCGAGTAAACAAAAGCCAAAACGGGTACTGTTTGATGGAATATTTGGAATGGAATTTCAATTGAAAATTTGAAATACTCTTTTTCTCTCTCTCGATTGTGATCCATTTTAATTCGTTACCCTTTTGTTTCCATCTTAGTTTTTTTTTTTTATACCTAGAATTGGAATATTCCCGTTTTATTTTCTTTGGGTGGATTTTTGACTGCAAGCCAAAAACATGAAAATATCTCTGTTCAACAAAATTGCACTTAGTAGTTGTCTCCCATGCAAACGTGGCCCTGTTCTGATATTGTGGAGCTGATTGATACCTACCCTATTCAAAATCTCATTGTGAGTCTTCTCCTACATGCCAGGAGAAAATTGTTCGCGGTATATCAAATTAATAAAACTTTAATATAAGAATAAAAGAAGAAGAAAAAATAAAAATTAATACATCTTAATATTTAAAATATCACAATTACTTATAAAATTATTTAAATAAACTTAAAGAATATTTCTTGCATCATGATTCATAAGAAATTATTTCTTCAAAAATCTAAATTTAATGGTGTAAACAAAGGTATTTATTATCTAAGCAATTCTTTATTTTTTATATAAAAATTAGAAATTAAATTTTAAATGTATAATTAAAAATATAAATAATTTTATTATTAAATCACATAATTAATAATTAAATAATTTTGTTAAACAGTATCAGTAGGACAAAATAAGAAAAAAAAATTTTTGGTGAAAAAATAAGAAAAATTTTTAATAACGGGCATTTCGATGTACCGTGTACGGTAAACAGTAATAAGTACAGAAAAAAATCAGTCATTAATAAAATTAAGGCCGGTTGGTATAGCGATTTTGAGATAGCGATCAGTGATTTTACCTAAATCATTAAATATATGTGTTTGGTAAATTTATATATTTCAAAACCGCTATAAATAAAGTGTTTAATAAAATTTTTATTTAGCGGTTTGAGACTAGCGGATAGCAGTTAGAGTCCAAATCGCTAGCAAATTGAAAAAGTTAGTTTATGTAACTTTTTGTATCAAATCGCTAACGGATTAAAATTTTTTAATTTTATTTACAAATTTATCCATTTTAATTTTTTAATTTGTGGTCACATTTTTTAATTAATAATTATCTAATAAATTTCAATTTTGTTTTTCTACCTTTAAT